AATAATAATAATAGTAGTAGTAGTAGTAGTGGTAGCAGTAGCAGTGGTGGTAGTAGTAATAGTAATAGTAATAGCAGCAGTGGTGGTATTAGAAGTAATATCAGTAATGGTGGTGGTAGCAGCAGTGGTGGTAGTAGTAGTAGTAGTAGTTATAGTAGTAATAGTAGTAGCAGCAGTGATGGTAGTAAAAGTAGTTGTAGCAGCAGCAGTAGTAGTAGTAGTAGTGGTAGAAGTGGCAGTAGTAGTAGTAGTAGCAGCAGTGGTAGTAAATGCATACCGACAGTGACAAACAGCACTATCAGCCCCAGCGAAACCACCGAAGATTTATCACATCTGAGACTTCTTAACTCGCATACCTTCGGGCGGCATTGAGGATGCTGACTCTCTCGGCTCTGGTTCCTTCAGGGGGTTTGTATTCCCACGTGATGTCTTCGCGGTCCGACTTAAAGAATCCTCCTGTGGCCACTGGACCGGCTTTCTTCGTCAGGATCAGGCGGCCCACGCTGGGAAGGGAGAGGAAGCGGTGAAGTGGTTTCTCGGGCGGGTTATTAGGTCTTCTGTCTCTGTATGTCTCTCTGTCTGTGTGTTCTGTTTGTCTGTCTGTCTATGTCTATATGTCTGTTTATCTGTCTGTCTACCTGCCTCTCTCTCTCTCTTTCTCTTCCTCTCTCCCTCTCTATCTATTTATCTATCTATCTACCCCTCCCTCCCTCTCTCTCTCTCTCTTTCTCTCACTCTCTCTCTCTTTATCTATCTATCTACCCCTCCCTCCCTCCCTCTCTCTCTCTCTCTCTCTCTCTCTCTCTCTCTCCTCTCTCTCTCTCTCTATATATATATATATATATATATATATATATATATATATATCTTCCCCCTTCCCGTCCCTCTCTCTCCCTCCCTCCTTCTTTCCCTATCTCACCTGCTCGTCTGCGTCGCCAGCTTCTTGAATCCTCCCTCCGCCTGGTCGTCCTTCTGCCAGCGCACGACGTCGGCGTTGACCTCGGCCAGCACGAAGGGCACGTCGTATTTCAAGTCGACGCGGCCCTGCCTGATGGCCTCGTGGGAAGCTGGACCGCACTGGTAAGAGCCTGAGGGAATGTTCAATGTTTCAGCTTATACTCAAGACCCTGAGGGAATGTTCAATGTTTCAGCTGGTACTCAAGACCATGAGGGAATGTTAATTCCTACAGCTGATACTCAGGACACTTAGGGAAAACCAATAGTTACAACTGATACCAAAACGTTGTAAGACTATAGATACACCATTACTATGACATTTGCACGGGGGGTGGGGGGGGAATAGCATGTCTGAAAAAATACAAGAATAAAATCCGGAGGTTATTCTCACCATCGCTTGTCTCCTGTGGCGTGGCATCAATGACCTGCCAGCCTCCGAAGCCATCAGGCAGGTCAGGTCGGGCCATCCACACGTCATTCCAAACGTGGAAGTTCCAGATGGAGTCCCGGATGCCAGCTGGGTTGACGTAGCGATCGTTTTCTCTGAAAGGAAAAACGAGAAGTGTGACAGAAAACGGAATTCTGAAGGTATTTTTCGGGGGGAGATCTAAGAGTGAAGAACGTGAAGAATCTGGACTCCGAAAAGGTTTTTGCGCTGAAATCTATGCAAACGACAAACAAGTGGTCTCTCCTACTTCATTTGATAAAGAGTAATCTAAGTTATCTTTTTCCTTCGTCATTAATAGATGAGTGATTTTCAGGTCTGAGAGTGGAAAATTCAGAATGTTTTTATTTTTCCTCTTTAACTATTAGATAATGAGAGATATTAGGTCTCAAAATATAGAACAAATAGTCACTGGACTCAGAAAAAAGTTTTTTTTTTTCTTTTTTTTTATAAAAAGATGTGAGTCGGAGTGAAGTGAAGAAGCGCATGATATCTGGATCCAGTGAATGTCTCCCGTAGTGAGCTGAGATATGACCGAGGATTTTCAGAATTTGAGGAATAAATCCGGATTAGGACATTTTTTTTTTCCTGGATTGACACGGGAGTTTTTCAGACGGTCTCAGGGTGCAGAATAGATAGTACCTTGATTCAGAAATTATTTCTCTACTCAATATGATTGGAGATTTTTTCTTTCTTTTTTTATCTTGTTTCTGTCACTTGTTTTTGGCATTAAAAGACCACACTTACTCGATCTGGTCGCCGTCCTCGTCAAAATATTCGTCGATGGAGAGTGAGATGTTGGTGTCGTGTGCAGAGGCGAAGTTGGTCACGACACGGCATGGCATACCCAGGGCGCGACATACTGAGAACGAGAAGAAAAAACAATACAGTCAAAACCAGTCAAATACGTATCTTGCGCTATAGAGATATTCATTCTCATTCAAAATTATCCATCGGGATTATCTTATAGTTTTTTTAAAAATCAACATGCAACCGCGAATACACGCCACACGCAACAACAACAGTAATCCCTCTCTCTCGCACTCACTGGTGTTGAGACAGGCGGCGAACACCCAGCACTGGCCGTACTTCACCGACTGCCGTGTCCTGAGGTACGTCTCCAGAATCTCGATCGAACCGAGCCACTTGGCGGGCGCCCTGCCGTCCTCGTACTCGCCATCCCACTTGCCCACGAGGAGACCGGCGTCGTCGTTGCTGTTCACCTGCGGGCAAGGGAAGCGCTAGTGAGAAGGAAGCTAATGTGGCTTCTTTCCCAGGGTTATGCCCGATGAAAGGTTGTTGGTCGCTGGTCGAAACCTTCCCCCTCCTCCCTCCCTCCCGGCCAAAAGATTAAGAAAAATGCTCATCGCATCTCATTTTATCCCCAAAAAAGCTGCAGCAAGAAAAAGTTATTGAATTGGTTGTATATAATAGCAGAAAAAAAAATCTCTCCACATACCATCTTCGAGAGCGCCCTCGACATTCGCACGGGGTCCCCGCGCGCCTCGGCACTGACGCCCGATCTCTCGAGCAATAGCATGCACGCCGGCAGCACAGCGTCGTCGAACTGCCCGAAGGCCCAGTGGCGGCCACGGGTGTGCGGGTAACTACCCACGAATACCTGCAAAGGGAGGCGAGAGTGAGCGTTTTATTTACGCCTGATGGATTCTCGATTGGTTTGGATTTTATTGAATTACTTATGCTTTGTTTTTTTGTATTGTTTTGTTTTTGTTTTTACTAGTTAATCAGTGCCTTATTGACTGACTGACATATCTGTCAATTTCTTAATCTAACGAGCGTGAGATTACAGTTTCGGTTATTAATCTATATTAGAATTCCAAGTGCTTTGATTTTCATTTTATACAAGAAGAGAACAAACTTCCTAGATGATAAAATGAAGATTTCAGCAATTGCAAAACACATGACAAATAATAAATATCATATTAGTAGACATTTTACCAAAGTGCCTTACCGTGCCTACGGCAGAAAGCACATACTCCTGGCGCATTTTTTCCTCAGGAAGGTATGTGCCGTCATCTGAAAGAAAGAAGCCTCGTATTAAAAGATGGCAAAGAGGAAGAATATTATTTTCATTCTAACATCCGAGGCCTAAAGGATTATCGGTAAAAAAATAGATATGGTCATGCATTTGATGAACCTCAGAACTACCATAGCAACACAAGGAAAAGTCATCATCTATACGTAGTGGCTATCTTGTCTCTATCAGTTATTTTTTACTATAAATGTCAAGAACCGTCTGCCATCTTCAAGATGTATAAATATCAATGTAATATCTTAATATTAGACAGACAGACATTCAGCAAAGTAATCTATTCCGAAACAAAGTATTTTATGCTGCATAGTTATGATACCTGAACCTCCTGCAGACGATACAGCATCCAAATATATATATATATATATATATATATATATATATATATATATATATATATATATATATATATATATATATATATATATATAATCTAATTAAATGTCATATTTATCTAACTTTTTTCGTGACCAATCATGTCCCTGCTGACTCAGTCCCATGACTGTGCTTGTCCTTTTACTCTGTAACATATTAGCGACCTTTAAACCTCCAAGATAAAGGAAAATGGCGATGAAAAGGGAGGAAGTGGGATAGATAAAGGTAACAATTTTAAATTTAGTTAATACAAAAGAGGGTGTCGGGAATGGGGTAAAAAAAAGGGTAACACGCAAGTATAGACAAAACATAAAATAAAATCGTAACAAAAAACATGACCACGTGTTTGAGAAGGAAGTATGAATGCAGGAGGATAACAGTTAATGTAAATAAACATTTAATTACCTCCGCCAAGAAGGTTATGTTTTTGACGGCGTTGGTTTGTTGGTTTGTTTGTTTGTTAGCAGCATAGCTCAAAAAGTGCTGGCTGGATTTCATCGAAATTTTGGGGACAAGTCAGAAAGGGACTAATTTAGAACTGATTAAATTGTGGTGACATTCCGAATTACTGTCTGGACGCAGCAGCGGTGTAAGTACATCCGAAAGATAATCAGGATATTTTTGGACTTGGCCAAAGTATATATATTATATACGCACCTTGGCGGAGGTCTGCACTCTCTGAGTGCTTTTCTAGTTTATCATATTACTGGCGATATGATTTTATGTGGAGCTGCTCGAGGTACGCAGTCATCCCACTTTATATAAAGCTGTCTCATCTTACCTCCAAAGAAACGGGCTCCCCTTATGGGCATAGCCCGGGCGAGGCTCTGCTTCGCGAATCAAAAAAAAAAAAAAAAAAAAAAAAAAACTTTCCTCCAGCCATCCCACCTTCCCCACACTCACCCACTCACCCACCCTACCCCTCGATCACTAAGCACTCACTCTCATTCCAAGGGTTAAACAGGATGTAGATATGCGTGTCGAAGCGTCGTAGGTGCCTCTCTCCCGACTGGTTCCGACGCTTCACCTCGACCGCGACCTTCCACACACCCACGGGAGCGTCGGTCGGGATTTGCACCTGCGGGAGGGACACGCCGTTACACCCATGAGATCGGGTACGATTGGGTTCTAAGGAGGTTCTGACAGGGTTCTAGGGAGGTTCTGACTGGG